TATTGAGGTAGTTATGTGTGTGTGTGTGTGTGTACACACATATACGTATACACACACACATATACATATATACACACACATATATACACACATATACATATATACACACATATACATATATACACACATATACACACATATACATATATACACACATATATACACATATACACATATATACATATATACACACACATATATACACACATACATATATACACATGTATATATATACATATACACACATATTTATACACACATATATAGACACATATACATATATAGACACATATATACACATATACATATATACACACGTACATATATACACACATATACACACATATACATATATACACACATATACATATACACACACATATATATACACACACACGCATATATATATATATATATATATATATATATATATATATCAGCAGAACAGAAAAGTCAATCCATGAAACATGTCTGAGTATAAATGAGAGTTTAGCATAAGTCATTTTTTTATTTTTTAAAGATTTATTTATTTATTTGAGAGAGAGAGAGAGAGAGATCGCAAGTGGGGGGAGGGGCAGAGGGAGAGACTCCTCAAGCAGACTGCCCCACCCCCCCACCCTGCTGAGCAGAGTGTGGAGCCAGAAGCAGGGCTCGTGCCTAGGACCCTGATTATGACCTGAGCCAAAATCAAGAGTTGGGTGCTCAACCAAATGAGCCATCTAGGCACCCCTAGAGTAAGTCATTTTAAATTATTTGAGGGGTAATGGACTGTTACATGAATTGTACTGGAATTTGGCCCTATATTTGAGTATATTTATACACACATGTATATTATATATATATGTATGTATGTATCTGTGTGTGCATATAGTCAAATATACATGGCTTACATAACCCAGAAGCCATACAGGAAAAAACTGATATATTTGACTACATCAAAATATAAAAATTCTGATATCAAAAAATACCATAAAATTAAGATGTCAGTGACAGGTTGGGAGAATATATGTGCAACTTATATAACAGAAAAATAACTACTGTAGAGATATGCACAAGGAACTACAAATAGTCAGAAAAATACTGTTGAATGAAAAAAATACTCAAAGGATATTAACAACTAATTCTCAGTGAAAAAATGTAAATGGCCAATAAGCATAGGCAATGATGCTAAAGCTTATAGATATTTAGGAAAATGTGAATTAAAAGGACAACAACCTCATACTTTTTTTTTTGCTTCTTATATTGACACTAATTACTAATTTACAGTGTGCATGAAAGCATGGGGATGGAGTGCTGTCATGTGTTTGACAGGAGTATAAATTACCCAGTGTCTTTGGAGGGCAGTTTGGTGGTATACCTGTTAAATATATAACATCTCATCTCCTTCCTTGGGCAGTATTGAATGTATAAAATCTCATACTCTTTACATACCCATACACTACAAAATGTAAATAAATTTTATTTATATCAGAATATCCTAAAGAAATCCTTCCATCTGTGGGTACCAGATTTTTCACTGTAGCCTTGATTTTATTAACCCAGACCCAGAATAATTTTATGTTCATCAGTGGGGTGTTGGGAAATGAAATTAGATAAACAGTAGCATAACCAAGCTATGGAATAGTATATAGCAGTTAAAAATAACAAAACATATTTAATTGTACTGGTATGTGGGCACCTGGGTGGCACAGGTGGTTAAGCGACCAACTCTTGGTTTTGGCTCAGGTCCTGATCTCAGGGTTGTGAGATCAAGCCCCGTGTTGGGCTCTGCACTCAGGATATAGTTTGCCTAACACTCTAGCTTCCTCTCTATCTGCCCCTCCCCCTCATGCATGCTCGTGCATGCTCTCTCTGTCTCTCTATCTCAGATAAATAAAAAAAAAAAATCTTTAAAAAATAAATGTACTGGCTCCCTGAGATGTAATTTAAATTTAAATGTAGAGCTCTCTGAGATGTAAATTTAAATGAAAAAAATAAGTTGCAAAACAGTATGTTAAATATAATCTCACTTATATATTTAGTAAGATATGCATGTATATATAATGTATAGAAAATAATTTAACATGGCAAAATTATAACAATGGGGAGGTAACTGTGCTTTGGATGAGGATGGTGGAGTTAAAGTGGTACAAGTGTTTTTCCTGGATTTGACTCTTATACTAGAATGTATTCTTGTGAAATTTGCCTGTAATTACAGAAAATAAAGAGCGAATAATAAAATACCTTAAGTATATTTCCATCAGGATACATAGAACTAAATCTTTCTTTTTTATCAACCATATTGTATATTTGACATAATGTATTTAACCTTTCCCTTTATGTTTCTTCAGTGTTTTTTTTAACCTTTACAGGTACTGCAATAGAAATCCAATAGATACCCTTTGTGAAATATGCACATATCTTTGAGAAATTGTGTAGGTATATACACTGGTTAAATTCCTAGTGATAGCATTGCTGGTTCAAAGAATTTGTGTGATATTATATTTATCATTTAATAGATTTTTGCCAACCGAAAAAAGATTGCATCAGAGTATCTGCTTCTAACAGAGTGTGCGAGTGCCCATTTCCCCACAAACCAATCAACAATATTATCAAAATTATCTATATATATTTTTTATTTTTTTAAGATTTTATTTATTTGACAGAGAGAGACACAGTGAGAGAGGGAACACAAGCAGGGGGAGTGGGAGAGGGAAAAGCAGGCTTCCCGAGCAGGGAGCCCGATGGCTCGATCCCAGGACCCTGGGATCATGACTTGAGCAGAAGGCAGACACTTAACCAACTGAGCCACCCAGGCGCCTATATACATATATATACATATATATATATTTTAAAGATTTAATTATTTATTTGAAAGAGAGAGAGAGAGTGTGCGTGGGTTGGGGCGGAAGGAGAGGGAGAGAATCTTAATCAAACAAACATCCTGACATCATGACCTGAGCCTAAACTAAGAGTCAGATACTCAACCAGCTGAGCCACCCAGGCATCCCTCACATTTCTGTATTCTGACAAACTCCTAGCTGAAACAAGATAAGACATAGTTGTTTGGATTTGCCTTTCTTTGAAGTTGAGCACCTTTTCATATGTCTATCAGTCATTTGTATTTCACTTCTGTGAACAAATCCATTCAGGTCTTTGGCACATTTTTCTATTCAGTTATCATTTTACTAGTGATTTGTAAGTTTTTAGATTATTACAAATTAGTCACTTGACATCCTATGCTTATGGGTTTTATATTTTACTTTCCTAAAGTTTTAAATGTTTATGTAATCGATTTCTGAATCTTTCCCTTCGATGGAGAATATAAGTTGGTCACAGGCAATTGAGTTCTGAAAAGTCACTACATTAGTAAGGTTCTTTGGCACTCTGGGCACCCTGGCTCCCTTCCTAGAGGGGCCTCCCCCACACAGGGGCCCCTCACAGGGGGAGCTTCCTGCTGGAGTGTCAGATTTCAGCATTCAAAGAAAGAGGCTGCCTGAAAGGTCTATATTTAGAGTATGACTCCCTATCAGGGACAGCTGAATATCTGGGAACAAATTTCTGCATACTTTGTCCCTGAGTTCTGGGATTATTCTGAGGGGCTTGTATGGGTGGTGCAGTGAACTTGTAACAGAAGGCAGGGAGTGAAAAGGCCTCTTTCAGCTGGTGGTGACTGCTTGGCAGCCTGTAAACTATGCTTTTCGTGAGGGAAAAATGACACCGATTTCAGGGGTATTGCAGTGATTCACAGTCACCCACAGACCCTCACCGCTGTCTCCACTGGAAGATGCTGAGCACTAGGGGCTGCTGGGGATGACAGACATATAGTACATGAACAACAGATCCCAGAGATATCTCACCAGTGTCACGATTAAATGAAAATTCCACCCGCTAAGCCTCATTTCCATCAGTGGGAGAGCAGTTGGTCCTGTCCAGCATGTGATGAGACCGATTTGATCACACGCTTACGTAAAATCCAAATAAAGTCCCTTGAATGGAAAGCAGGTTAATCTGGGAAGTCACCAGTTTTCAGGCACTGGGTTCATCAGGAGTTGGGTCTTCATTCAATCATCCAGGAGTCATCTGTGAGGAAGTTCTCAGACACCTGACACAAGACTACAATAAGTTCAGCCAGAACTTGAAAAGGTTGTAAATTGCTTGTGGGAAATTGCCAATTTTAGAAACCTGAATGTCTTTCCGCAGATTAATTTACAGATCACATTGAAAACAGCCTGGTTTTGTTTAGGAAAATTTTGTACATACAATGTCAATAATTACTAGTATGTGTTGAAAACTGAAATCGTTAATAGCAATTAATGTGGCACAAAATAATGTGAACAAATGAGTCTTTTGCTATTTTTACGACCTAGTTTTTAAATGTCGGATGAAAATGGCTTGCCTGCATTTCCCAATGACAAAAACACTGAATGCGATGTTAAAAGCGGGGCGGGGAGGGGGGAAGAACATTAAAAAAAGAAAGTTAAGCATCTACTCGCACTCTCTGCTTCCTTTCCGGACACCCCTTCCCTAGCCCATTTTGGTGCAGCAACACACCTGATGGGGAGTGTTAGTCTCATAGCCTAAGAGAGAAGGAGGGGATTCCTCTAAGAAAAGGCCAGAGCCAAGGCCTGAGGGAGGGTGATATGCAGACCCTCCCCAGTAACCAGAGAAGGGCAAACCTCAACCGCAAAGAAGTGAGGCCACTCGCTAATCGGCCCTCAGATTGGAGAGGACAGAGCTGAGCGACCAGGCGGTGCGCTCGGGGGCTCGGGTCACAGACCGGTGGAGGGGCAGTTGGGGCGGACGGAGGTGGGGGGCAGGGTCCCGTAGAACTCCCCGCAGGCCGGAGGGTGGGGTGGGAGGGGAGAGAGAGCGTTGGTGACGCGCGCCCCCACGTGACCTGGAGCTGCAGAGCGACGCAGCCTTCGGTGCAGTCGTCACTCCCGTCTGGGTACCGGCTCCCCGTGGTCCTGCGCCGGGCGGGCTGGCGTCGGGCCCGAGGAAAGCGGAGCAGGTGAGGACTCCGGGGCCCGCGCGCCGAGGCCAGGTAGGCAGCTGTCGGCCTACCCCGGAGGCCGGTAGCCGGTTCGGGGATGGGGGACAAAGCGGGCTTAAGTTCCAGGAGCCTTCGCTGTGGTTCTCCCGAGTCCCCTCCCCCTGCCTCCGTCCGTGCTGGGGAACCTTGGGCTCTGACAGCGGATGGTTGGGGGTGGAGGGGAGTGGCTCTAGAGGGAAATGCAGAGATTGAGATGTCCCATCCTCTCTGACCCTAATCGCCGACCGCACACGTCCGCCCAGCTTCCTGCACATTTCAGGGGAAGGGACATGCCACCGTGGCGTTTACAGAGAAAATGGTGGGCCTTGGTGACTGGACGGTGGAGTTGGTGGGGGTGGCGTCTGGGAATGCGGGGAGGGACGTTTGATAACCAGGATCCTGAATTCCGAAAGGTGAGAACTAGGATCTGTGTCCTGGGTGTTGGCCCAAGCACTCAGTGCCTTTACTCTCTCCTGTCTGATGGACAGTAGTTCCGTGTGGCACTGTTTGTGGCGAGGCAAGGGAAGAAGGAGAGAAGAAAACTGCACAGGATCTGTGGAGGTTAGTGTGAGCACGGCCCGGCCTCTGAATAGTTGAAGTTTGGTAGGAATTCTCTAGGACAGGAACTTAGGCGCCGCTGTCCGGTTGGGATGTGGGGTGGGGCTACCTAGGGGACTTTCCCTAAACTGCGTTTACTTACTAAGCTTAGGGTTTTTAACTTAAATTGTATGTTGAAGACCAGTAAAGACAGCGAACTTTTCCATGGATGCTTTCATTTGCACTTCAGATAATATTAAGAAAATACAAATCGTTGTATCAAAGAACATTACTTGTTTTTTGAGATAGCCTTTGCCAGGAGGGATAGTGATTTTGCAGAAGAAAAAGCCTTCCCTCACTCCTTGTGTCTTCTGCTGGAGACTCCTAGAGATGGATTTAAGGGGAAGTAGATGGCAGTAGGCTATGTTTGATTCTAGAGTAGGGGACGGGGGCCTCCATCTCTCTCTCCGTTTTCCAGTTTTCCAGATTTCCCCCGCCTGTCTGAGCACCTTGGTGAAGGAAATGATGGACTTTTGGGAGAAACCTTAGAATCCTACAGGTGGTTTTAAAATAATTTGCCCCTGTCTCTTCCCTTTTATTTCTCCTGCCTCCCTTTTACACTCTGCCCATTTCAGTGCTGGGGAAGCCCCAGGTTCTGCTAGCCAGAGAATGTGTCTCTAGATCTAGTAAGGCAGGTACTGGGACCCCTGTTTTAGATGCTGGGATGTCACAAGCCCTCAACAGTTACCCTCCCCTTTTTCTCTGTTTTTTTTTTTTTTTTTTTTTCCTAGGTCTTCCCATAGGCCTACAGTAGGGCTGGAAGCCAGGGAAAGGGGGAGACTGGCCTGGAACCATGAAGGTTGGTGTGAAGGTGGGCAGCGCCTGGGGATAAAAAGAGGGTGAGCACAGAAGGGGGCTGAGACTTGAGAGGGTCTCAGGGGAGGGTACTTCTGCCTCTCCTACACTCTGCCCGATTTCCACAGTGTTGCTACATCCCCTGCTGAGGCAGGTACTGGGATCCGGAATCAGGGTGCTTGTCTGTTCTGTGAGGACTTGGTGTCTATTACCTCCTGTTTGTTTGCTTGTCCATAGATCGGCCTGCAGGTCTGCTGTAGGGCTTGAGATTACTGGAAGCAAAGAAACAAGGAGGAAATTGCCCCTGATCAGTATAGCCTGGTAAGAGGATGGGAACTGCCTGGGTAGACCTCTAGGGTGGGTTGGTGGAGATCAACATGCATCCTGTGTGGTCAAGGTCCAGTCTGGAGTATCCTCAGCCCCTCCCTTTCCCACCATCCCTGTCATGCTCTCACCTTTATTTTGGTACAGAGAGTGGGGTGAACTGAGGGAGATAGAAAGGTAGTTTGATAATATGCCTGTCACATCAAGAACAAAATCCCCAGTCCCATCTGTCCCTCCGTCTGTCTGTCTGTCTGTCTCTAGGTCCACAGATCTCATGAGTTAATAGATCTACTTTAGGGTATATCACCAATCAAGAGAAGGAAAGAGGAGGGAACTGCCTTGATCATTACAGGTTGGTATGAGGGTGGGGACCTTTGGGAGTGGTGACAAGAGTTGGTCCAGTAAAAATCAAGGTCTGAAGGCTTCTCAGTCTCTCCCATTCATAGTCAGTCCCCCCCCCCACCATCTTTTCCATTATTCATTTGGTGTAAGGAAGTGCGTATGGATGTACCTTAGGGGAAAGTTGTTGGGCACTGGGGAAAATGGGAGGGGAGAAAATAAAAGGGATGGAGAGAGAGTTGGCTCATCATCCTCTTCTCCCACCACGCACATCATTTCTACACTTTCCTGTCCTTCGTGTATCTATCTGTATGAGGTACAACATTAGAAGAGAAATTTTAGTTCATTTCCTTCCTCCACTTCTAGGTCCACCTCCAGTGGCAGCTGTAGTGGCCTTTAAGTGGCTGAAGACCAGCGCCCTCACAGGCCTACACCCAGACCTACTACCCTCTTTCCCCATCCTGATTGAGCCCCCTGTACCTTGTTCGTGCCTTCAGTAGGGCTGATTACATGGGTCGAGTTCAGGAAGTGGGCTGGGTGACTGCAGGACTGGTGGTTTGGGCTGGTACCTGCTACTACCTTTACAGATTAACCAAGGGAAGAGCGCAGAGTGTGAGGACACTTGCCAAAAATGGGTCCAGAGTCAAGATGGGGACTGTGGTTGGGGTACAGAACCAGACCTTGGCCACGGCTGAAGCCATGGCTGGGACAGAGACTGAGACTAGACCCAAGGCCACATCTGGAGCAGAAGCTGAAGCAGGAGGTAGGGCTGGGGCTGAAGTAGAGATTACCACCACTGCTAAAGCCAGACCCAAAGCCAGCTCTCAGGCCATGACAATGGCTGAGGCGGAGGCAGCGATACAATCTGAGGCCAAAACAGTGGCCAGAACAGTGGGCACGACAGAAGCAGTGACTGTGACCGAGGCCCAGGTCAAAGCCGGGGAAGTGGCTATGAAAGAGGCTGTGACCCAAACTGACTCTGAGGCTGGGAGAGTAGTCAAGAAAGAAGCTGTGACCCAGACCAAGGTTAAAATTTGGGCGCTGGCTGCCAGGGCAGAGACCAAGAAAGAAGTAATGACCCAGACCAAAGTGGAAGCTCGTATACTGGCTGAAAAAGAGATGAAAAGAATAATGGTGACACAGAGTGAGGCCTTAGGAGTGATCAGGGAAGTGGCCAAGATCAGTGCCATAAGTAAGACCGGAACCGTGGCTGAGACCAAGGCAAGAGCCCTGGAAGAGATTGTGAGTGTGGCCAAGACTCAGTCTGAGGCCAGGCCTGGTAACACAGTTGATGCTAAGGGAAATCCTAATACCGTGTCCAGGGCAGAAGTTGGAGTGGACATGAGGTCTTGTGTACCATCTCAGGCTGTGACCAAGATCCAGGTTGACACCATGCCTGGTGCTGGGGTTGAGGTCAAGGGGAATCACAAAACCATGTCTCGGGCAGAGTCTAGGGCAGACATGAGGGCTCCTGCCCAGCCTCAGATTATAGCCAAGACCCAGGCTGAGGCTATGCTTGGGGCAAAGGTTGATGCTGGGGGTAATACAAATGCCATGTGTAAGGCAGGGACAGGGGCAGATATGAGAGTTTCTACACAGCCTCAGACTGTGGCCAAGAAACAGGCCGAGACAATGTTTGGTGCTGGGGTTGATGACAGGGGAAATGCTGACGTTACATCTAAGGCAGTGGCTGGAGCTGACGTGAAGGTTGCTGCTCAACTTCAAGCTGCAGCCAGTGCTCAGGCTGAGGCTATGCTTGATGTCAAGGTTAAAGGAAGAGGCAATTCCAATGCTATGTCTAAAACAGGGGCCAGGGCAAACTTGAGGGCCAATTCCCAGGCTGAGGCCTTGCCTGATGCCAGGGTTAAGACCAGAGACAATCCCAATGCCATGTCTAAGATGGGGGCTGGGACAGATATGGAGCTCTATATGCAGCCTCAGCTTGTGGCCAATGTCCAGGTTGATGCCTTGCCTGATGGTAGGATGAAGGCTAAAGGCAATGCCAACACCATATCTAAGGAAGGGGCTGGGACAGACACAAAGGCACAGTCTCAGGCTTCCACCAAGAGCCAGGTTGAGACCTTACCTGGTACTAGAGGTAAGACTAGGGGAAAAGGCAAAAGTAAGCATAAAGCAGGGGTCGGGATAGAAATGAAAACCTGTGCGCAGCCTCAGGTTGGGGCCAAGACCCACGATGATGCTTTACCTGATTCCAGGGTTGATGGCAGGGGTGATCCTAATGCCATTTTTAGGTCAGGGGCTAAGGCGGAACTGAGGGCCTGTGGTCAGCCCCAGACTGAGGCCAGTTCCCAGGGTGAGGCTTTGCCTGGTACTAAGAATAAGGTCAGAGGCAATCCCATTGCTGTGTCTAAGGCAGGGACTGGGCCAGATATACTGGGCTCTGCCCAGCTCCAGGCTGTGGCCAATTCCCAGGGTGAAGCCTTGTCTGGTAATAAGAGCAAGGTCAGGGGCAATCCCAATGCTGTGTCTAAGGCAGGGACTGGGCCAGATACTATGTGTTCTGCCCAGGGTGAAACAGATACAACAGGCTCTGCCCAGCCCCAGGCTGTGGCCAGTTCCCAGGGTGAAGCCTTGCCTGGTACTAAGAACAGGGTCAGGGGCAATTCCAATGCTGTGTCTAAGACAGGGACTGGGCCAAGTACAATAGGCTCTGCTCAGCCTGAAGCTGTGTCTAATTCCCAAGGTGAAACCTTGCCTGGTACTAAGAATAAGGTCAGAGGCAAGTCCAATGCCATGTCTAAGACAGGGGATGGGCCAGATACATTGGGCTCTGCCCAGCTCCAGGCTGTGGCCAATGCCCAGGGTGAAGCC